GTACGTACGTACGACGTAGTAGTAGTAGAGAGAGAGAGAGAGAGAGAGAGAGAGAGAGAGAGAGAGAGAATAACAATGGAAAAAAAAAGCAGCGGAAAGCTTCGGTTGTATAAATCGCCGGAAGTCCCGAAGATAATTTAGATTTATCTCTCCTCCCTTCCCCTACCGACCTCTTGGCGGAATAAATCATCAAAGGCTGGCAAAATACCGAAAGAAAGAAGAAAAAGGGCCGGTGGAGGGGGAGGAGAGTTTGTTGGCTGGTCACCGAACCGACGCAGTTCATTCGCCGGTTGACGTCCTTCGACAGAGGACGCGTAATCCTCGCCCGATCCCCGCCATTGAACCGAGAATCTCATTTTGATCGTCATCCTCGCAGCGGACCTCGTTTGGAAACGAGCCAGATACGAGCCTATTCAACGTGTACGGTACGGAGCTCGAAGAAGGAGAAGTTCTCGAAAGAAGAAGCAAGCAGTTGCGTTTCCATAACGTAGGTTACGTCGAATTCTCCTCTCCCTCCTCCTTACGTTCGTTTCGCGAATTTCCTCTCTCGCCATCCTCCATTATCCTCCATATCCTCGACGAGGAGGAGAAGGGACAGATACTCAGGCAGAGGCGATTCTTCCGCGTAAGCGTGCGATTACGTAAAATCGATGCGTTTCGAAGACGTTTAACGAGCATCATTACCGTCGAAGCCACCAAGTGGAACAATACACCGGTGATTTATCTTGGAAGAAAGGGGAGAAGGGGGGACTCGGGAAGTTTGCGAAGTAGAAGCGGCGTCTCCTAATTCCGCGCCGACGGAATACACGGATACGCAAAGTTTTCATCGTAATCACGCCACTCGTGGCGCGCGATTGTTAGGCGAAGTACCACGGCCACCTCGAGGTGGAGCCTTTAACGTTGTCGACTCACGAGTCACGGAAATTTATTCCATTGTCGTGTAACATGGACGAGGAAGCGCGAAGAAGAAGCGTGGAAAGTCGAGGGAAGGAGGGAGTGAGAAAGGAAGGAAGGAAGGAAGGAAGGAAGGAAGGAGGGTCTTTTTCGAGTTGGCGAGTAAGCGAGTTGGCGGTTGGTCGGTCGGTTGATAACGAACGAAAATAATTGGAAAGCGTCGAGTTCTCGGGAAGGGAATCTTGGGGATAGCACGATGGGTCACGAAAGGAGTAGAGCGGAGCGGAACCAACCGTTTGCTGGAAATTTCGTTAACTCCGCGATACACAAAGAGTGTACGAGGAATATCCGATCCCAGCTCCACGTAGTGGAACTCGAGTAAGCGGACAGTCGAGTGCGCCGACAAGAAGCAGTATACGAGCGCGATATAATTTCGTACACCGTACGAGTTCGAACTGGTCTAACCGCAACTTCGCCACCGCTCGAAACTTGATCGCGTGTATAACGCCGCCGATCGACGTTTCTCACCGAACTTCGACCTGGAACCGTCGTTATACTCTTAATAATTCGCCTAACTTGTTGAATCCATACTCGTCCTTCCACAGAGAGAGCTCGCGGAGAGATCCCGTCGAGAGCTTTCCGATAGACGGCTACGGCAAAGAGTAATGCAAATTACTTTACGATGAAGCGGAATGGACGACGAGAAAAGGTAAAAAAGCAGCAGGGAAATATAGGGAAGGAAAAAGCGTTTTTCAATCGCAATTAAATAATATTCGGCGGTGAATTAGAATCTAGTTTGGTTTACTAGTTATTTCCTTAAAGTTTTTCTTTTCGTTTTCGCAAAGTGGACGAGTGCACTTTTACGCGATTCGAGACAAAGGGTATCCTGCGTGTCCAAGAGGTACTTCTTTGTTACGCCTCTTGATGCGAGTCCTCCGCGTTTTCCGTTTCCAGGAATAAGACAACTCAATTATCCCTCGCGTCTAGGTCTTGCTCCTCGATGCGCAACAACTGTAATTACGGCGATCCGCGGATCTCGAGTTAGCGGATAGAAAGGGAAGGGGGAGGGAAGAAGGCTGCTCGCCCCGTTTCCATTGCCTCCAACGATCGCGATCGAAGCGATAGTCGGAGATAAATGGCGAGAACGTGGCTGGATGGAAAAACCTAGAGGTGAAAACTTCGGGACACGTTCCCCCCGCGTTCGAAATTGGTCGACTCGAATTAGCGCTTCGGCCGGACGTCGAGTCTCGTTCGACTAGGCCGCGTCGATCGATAAAGATGTGTGATCGAGGCGTTGTTGTACACAACGAGTAATAAATAACGGTAGACCGTAAAGGTTTCGCGTACGCGAAATTATAATCGAGTTGCGGCCCATAACGGATAATCGAGTGGGATACGCGCTACGTAATTGGAAGGTACGGAAGAGGCGAAACGATCGCGTGTATACACGATAGGTTACAATGGCCGCGCGTTTGTCACGCCGCGAAAAGGACGCCGCGTTGCATAATTGCTCGAATGTTAAAACGATTAAATTAACTCGACTTTTCCCCGATCGAACCGATTTTCTCGATTCGAGCGGATCGGTTGGGTGCAACGGTGCAGGATAAACCCCCTCTCCCCCCCCCCTCGTATCACTGATAATCCGATTATCGATTAAACTTGCCTAATTGACGGTGTACCCGTGTGTAATTGCGCCGCCCGATTGCCAGCCCGCGATAACGGGCCGAATCTTCCGATGATGCGTGGCGGCAAATCGCTTAGAAAATTCCATCTTGAACCGGAACGCCGCTTCCCATTCGAAATATTATTATCGTACAATCGCGTTTCGATTTATCGCCGTACCGTTCCTTCGCGTCGGACAAGAGTTAAGAGTTTTCGAGGAGATGCGATCGATGAAGTTGTTCGTTGTTACGAAAGAAAGGCACGAATTATTGGAAACGAATATAAACTGGCTTTCAACCGACGACGCACGGGGATTAGATTCGTTTTTTTTTTTTTTCCCCCTTAATTTCCAACCAGTCGATTAATTTCGTGCGACGCCTAACTCGTTCAAAACAAGGGAGGAGACGGGGTGCAGGGGTCTCCTGGCCGGTCGCCAGCGCTCCACGTATTCATAACCGGCGCGGGCTCTGTTCTCGGTTCGAAGCTTTTCACACTCGAGGGTTACAAATTATAGGGAGCGAAAATGGCGGGGATAAAATGTGTACTTAACGTCCCGCTACTTAGGGTAATTAAGCCGGGATTTAAGGATGACGTTCCGTCCTCCTTAACCCCCCCCCCCATTCCTCGAGGAGGAATCCCTACTTATCCCACTTATCCCATTCGTTCGTTATACACGAATAATTCTCCATAGAATCGGAAAAAATTGATGGATGATCGATCGATTCGAATCGGCTAATTAAACGTCCGACAGTGATGATTCAAATCAACGTCACCGCCAGCGATCCGATCGACGTTCCGATCGACGCAACGCGGCGTCCACGCCTTCGATTCTCCTCGGTTACAAATTTCCGAGCCGGCATTCGTTGGGTTGGAAAACGTCGCTATGCCTGCCCTCTTGCGCAACCGGCCGCGAGCTTTCATTAACGGCTTTGCATTAATTATCGTGGCGGTGATAAATAATTGGCGTTACATCGTTAACGGGGCAATCGAATAATTCTCTCCGGATATATATTCACGCCGGGTTTTATGAAACGAAGAAATGAAACGGAGATATGCTTTGCAGATTGCGAGCACCCATTTCTCTTCCC